GTCCCGTATCCTGTATGGTATCTTGTCCTATATCTCACAGACCAGTCTAGTCCCGTATCCTGTATGGTATCTTGTCCTATATCTCACAGACCAGTCAAGTCCCGTATCCTGTATGGTATCTTGTCCTATATCTCACAGACCAGTCTAGTCCCGTATCCTGTATGGTATCTTGTCCTATATCTCACAGACGGCCCTAGATGAGCCAAGCTTCGCCAAGTCCCGTATCCTGGAGCTCCTGGAGGCAGAGAAGAAACAAGTGGCCCAGCGTCTGGAGAAACTGCGAGCCAAACGCTCCGAGATGTCCACCCCGGCACAGCTGACCGCGCTACACGAGGGACCCGCCAACATGGCCGCCGGCAGCCCGTCCTCGCGCCGTGACCTCTACAAGGTCGCGCTCTTGCTGAGGGAGGCCAACAAGATCAACCAGTATCTGGCCACCAATTTGGTACGTGCTCTAGTCACACTCTTGCAGTCTAGTGGTTTGGTGGTCTAGTGGTTCAGTGGTCTAGTGGTCTAGTGGTTTGGTGGTCTAGTGGTTCAGTGGTCTAGTGGTTCAGTGGTCCAGTGGTTGGCCTACCTGACTAGTGGTTGCTAGGTTGTGGGTTTGAGGATCAGGTCAGACTCTTGTGTCAAGTTAGAAGCTTCATGCAGGAACTTTCCTCACTTGTCCCAGGTGGGAATGGGTTCCCGGCCATAGACAGGGCAACATCTTGTCAGTTTGTTAGTTTTTTAGCACCTATGAAATAACAGCTTGCAATGTATGCTTGCTCTGTATGCTTCCCAGGAAGTTGAGATTGTTTCAGAATGCTATCAGGTCTGCTGGGGGTAGTGATATGGATTGGAAAAGCTCATAATATAGAGCTTGCTGTTGAGTGGGAAGTTGAGCTGTACAGATGCTATCTATTATTATTACCTGTACATTTCTGTACCTGGGAGGGAGATATCACGACTTGTATTTCTGGACATTTTACCCCACATGTTTTTGAACTTTGATCATAGACGCAGGGTTCGGGGGGGCATGTTTTCGCCTCAAAGAAAAGACTTTCAGGATCACGTAAGCCGCTAAGCTCCAACTTCCTGTGACCTCTACCCCCGCTTGTCTCCCCCTAGGTGTTCAGCCGAGAAGACGTGTCTGACGAGGAGTGTGGCGGCACGTGTCGCACACAGATCCGCGTGGTGAACACACGACACGGCATGTTCACGCTGTGGCCCGTCGCACGCTTC